TTTCCCCTCACAGATTCCCCTTCTTTCCAATTTTCACTTCACTGACTCCCTTTTCCAATTTCCACCTCACAAGTTCCCCTTTTCCCAATCTTTTCCCAATTTCTACCTCACAAGCTTCCATTTTTAAATTTTCACCTCACAGATTCCCTTTTTTCCAATTTCCACTTCCCAGGCCCTCCTTTTCCCAATTCACACCTCAAAAGCCTCCATTTTTAAAATTTTCCCCTCACAGATTCCCCCTTTTTTCAATTTCCACCTCACAAGTTCCCCTTTTCCCAATTTCCTCCTCACAAGCTTTCATTTTTTAAATTTTTACCTCACAGATTGCATTTTTTTCCAATTTCCACCTCCCAGGCCTTCCTTTTCCCAATTCACACCTCAAATGCTTCCATTTTTAAAATTTTCCCCTCACAGATTCCCCTTTTTTCCAATTTCCACCTCACAGGCTCCTCTTTTTCCAATTTCCACCTCTCAAGTTTGCCCCCTTTTCCAATTTCCACCTCACAAGTTCCCCTTTTCCAATCTTTTCCCAATTCACACCTCAAAAGCCTCCATTTTTAAAATTTTCCCCTCACAGATTCCCCCTTTTTTCAATTTCCACCTCACAGGTTTCCATTTTTTTTTAAATTTTTACCTCACAGATTGCACTTTTTTCCAATTTCCACCTCCCAGGCCCTCCTTTTCCCAATTCACACCTCACAGGCTTCCATTTTTAAAATTTTCCCCTCACAGATTCCCCTTTTTCCAATTTTCACCTCACAGGCTCCTCTTTTTCCAATTTCCACCCCTCAAGTTCCCACTTTTCCAATTTCCACCTCACAAGTTCCCCTTTTCCCAATTTTTTCCCAACTTCCACCTCACAGGCTTCCATTTTTAAAATTTTCCCCTCACAGATTCCCCTTTTTTCCAATTTTCACCTCCCAGGCCCTCCTTTTCCCAATTCACACCTCAAATGCTTCCATTTTTAAAATTTTCCCCTCACAGATCCCCTTTTTTCCAATTTTCACCTCACAGGCTCCTCTTTTTCCAATTTCCACCTCACAAGTTCCCCTTTTCCCAATCTTTTCCCAATTTCTACCTCACAAGCTTCCATTTTTAAATTTTCACCTCACAGATTACATTTTTTTTCCAATTTCCACCTCCCAGGCCCTCCTTTTCCCAATTCCCACCTCACAAGTTTCCATTTTTAAAATTTTCACCTCACAGATTNGGGGGCATCACTGGGATTTGGGGGAAAAATTTTGCCTGGAAATGGGAAAAAATTGCTTGGAAAGAGGGAAAAATCTGCCTGGAAAGGGGGAAAAATTTCCTAAAAAGGGGGAAAAGTCTGCCTGGAAAGGGGGAGAAAAATCTGTCTGGAAAGAGGAAAAAATGTATCTGAAAAGGGGAAAAGTCTGCCTGGAAAGGGGGAAAAAAATTCCTAAAAAGGGGGAAAAGTCTGCCTGGAAAGAGGCAAAAAAAATCCTAAAAAAGGGGGAAAAAAGTCCTAAAAAGGGGGAAAAGTCTGCCTGGAAAGAGGGAAAAAAAATCCTAAAAAAGGGGGAAAAGTCTGCCTTGAAAGAAGGAAAAAAATTCCTAAAAACGGGGAAAAGTATGCCTGGAAAGGGGGAAAAAATCTGTCTGAAAAGAGAGAAAAATCTGCCTGGAAAGAGGAAAAAAATGTATTTGAAAAGGAGAAACATCTGCCTGAAAAGGGGGAAAAATCTGCCTAGAAAGGGGGAAAAATTTCCTAAAAAGGGGAAAAAGTCTGCCTGGAAAGGAGGAGAAAAATCTGTCTGGAAAGAGGGAAAGAAATGTATTTGAAAAGTGGAAAAATCTGCCTGGAAAGAGGGAAAAATTTTGCCTGGAAATGGGAAAAAATCTGCCTGGAAATGGGAAAAAATTGCTTGGAAAGGGGGAAAAATTTCCTAAAAAGGGGGAAAAATCTGCCTGGAAAGGGGGAAAAAAATCTGTCTGGAAAGAGAGAAAAATCTGCCTGGAAAGAGGAAAAAAATGTATTTGAAAAGGGGAAACATCTGCCTGAAAAAAGGGAAAAATTTTGCCTGGAAATGGGAAAAAATTTCCTAAAAAGGGGAAAAAGTCTGCCTGGAAAGGAGGAGAAAAATCTGTCTGGAAAGAGGGAAAGAAATGTATTTGAAAAGGGGAAATATCTGCCTGAAAAGAGGGAAAAATTTTGCCTGGAAATGGGAAAAAAATCTGCCTGGAAATGGGAAAAAATTGCTTGGAAAGAGGGAAAAATCTGCTTGGAAAGAGGGAAAAATTTACCTGGAAAGAGGGAAAAATCTGCCTGGAAAGGGTGCAAATGGGGCTTTAAAGGAATTATTTTATCCCTCAAAACAATGTCTTTAATTTTTAAGCCAGTTTTCAAGCTGCTGGAATTGAATCCTGCTGGACAAAGGTGACACAGAATAGATTTAAATATACAAAAAAAGAGAAGAAATAGAAATTAAGGAGCCCAAAAAGAAAAATATAACATTATTATTATTATTATTATTATTATTATTA